GGGGAGATATGGGGTCAGTTATGGGGGCTTTAGGGTCGGTTATGGGGGGTATAGAGTCAGTTATGGGGGCTAAGGGGAGATATGGGGTCAGTTATGGATCTGTAGGATCAGTTATGGGGACTAGGGGGGGATATGGGGTCAATTGTGGGCGTTGTAGGGTCAGTTATGGGGGCTGGTGGGGGATATGGGGTCAGTTATGGGGTGTTTAGGGTCAGTTATGGGGTCTGTAGGATCAGCTGTGAGACTGGGGGGGTTACGTGGGGTCAGCCAATCCCAGTCCCAATCCCACAGATCCCAATTCCAATCCCACTCCAATGGATCCCGATCCTCATCCTGGTCTTACAGTTCCTTACCCCAATCCCAATCCATCTCATCCCAATCCCAGTTCTGGTCCAACTCAATCCCAATCCCGATCCCGATCCCAATCTCAATCTGATGAATGCTGACTTCAATCCCAATCCCATTTCCGGTCCTATGGATCCCAATCTGATGGATCCCAATCCCAAACCCAGTCCCAAACTGGTGAATCCCAATCCCAATCCGGTGGATCCCAAACTTGATCCAATGACTCTCACTCCCAATCCTGATCCCAACTTGATGAATCCCAATCCCAATTCCAATCCAGTAGATCCCAGTCCTGATCCCAATCCCAATCTGGTGGCTCCCAGTCCCAATCCTGGTCCCAATCCAGTGGATCCACATCCCAAATCCAATCCTAATCTGATGGATCCCAATTCCAATCTGGTGGATCCCAGTCCCAGTCCCAATCCCGATCTGACAACTTCCAGTCTTAATCCCAATCTGGGAGCTGCTGATCCCAATTCTGGTCCCAGTCTGGTGGATCCCAGCCCCAATCCTAATTCCAACCCTGATCCGTTGGCTCCCGATCCCAATCCCAATCCATTGGGTCCCAATTCCAATCCCGGTCCTGATCTGATGGATCCCAATCCCAATCTGTTGGATCCCAATCCTAATCCTGGTCTGGTGGGTCCCAGCACCAATCCTGATCCCAACCCGTTAGATCCCAATCCCAATCCTTGTCCTGATCCGGTGAATCCCAATCCCAGTCCAATGGATCCCAGCCCCAATCCCAATCCCAATCTCCATCTGGTGGATCCTGATCCCAGTCCAATGGATTCCAATTCCAGTCCGTTGGATTCCAGTCCCGATCCCGGTCCAATGGATCCCGATCCCAATCCTGATCCCAATCCTCAGGATCTGAATCCCAGTTTGTCGGATCGTGATTCTGACCCTAATCCCAATCCCAGTCCATTGGACCTCAATTCCAATCCCAATCCTGGTCCATTGGATCCCGATCCTGATCCCAAACCTAATCCTGTTCCGTTGGGTCCCAGTCCCAATCCTGATCCCGGTCTGTTGGATCCCAATCCTGATCCCAATTCTGGTCCATTAGATCCCGATCCTGATCCCAATCCCAATCCTGTTCCGTTGGGTCCCAATCCCAATCCCTGTCCTGGTCCATTGGATCCTGATCCCAATCCCAATCCCGGTCTGGGACCGTTGGATCCCCATCCTGATCCCAACCCCAATCCTGGTCCATTGGATTCTAATCCCAATCCCAATCCCGGTCCCAGTCTGTTGGATCCCAATCCTGATCCCGATCCCAATCCTGGTCCCAGTCCATTGGATCCCAATCCTGATCCCGATCCCAATCCTGGTCCCGGTCTGTTGGATCTCAATCGCAATCCTGATCCCAATCCTGATCCCGGTCTGTTGGATCCCAATCCTAATCCCAATCCCAATCCTGATCCCAATCCGTTGGATCCCAATCCTGATCCCAATCCCAATTTTGATCCCGATCCCAATCCCAATCCCAGTCCTGGTCTGTTGGATCCCGATCCCAATCCTGGTCCCGGGCTGTTGGATCCCAATCCCAATCCCAATCCCAAACCCGGTCCCGATCCGTTGGATCCTAATCCTGATTCCAATCCCAATCCCAATCCTGATCCCAGTCCGTTGGATCCCAATCCCGATCCCGATCCCAATCCTGATCCCGGTCCGTTGGATCCCAATCCTGATTCCAATCCCAGTCCCGGTCCTGGTCCGTTGGATCCCAATCCCGATCCCGATACTGATTCCAGTTCATTGGATCCCAATCCCAATCCCAATCCTGGTCCCAGGCCGTTGGATCCTAATCCCAATCCCAATCCCAATTCTGGTCCCAGTCCATTGTATCCCAATCCTGATCCCGATCCCAATCTTGATCCCGGTCCATTGGATCCCAATCCCGATCCCAATCCCAGTCCCGGTCTGTTGGATCCCGATCCTGATCCCAATCCCGATCCCAATCCTGATCCCGGTCCATTGGATCCCAATCCTGATCCCAATCCCAATCCTGGTCCGTTGGATCCTAATCCTGATCCCGATAATGATTCTGGTCCATTGGATTCCAATCCTGATCCCAATCTTGATCCTGGTCCGTTGGATCCCAATCCCAATCCTGGTCCCAGTCCATTGGACCCCAATCCTGATCCCGATCCCAATCCTGATCCCAGTCTGTTGGATCCCAATCCTGATCCCAATCCCGATCCTGGTCTGTTGGATCCCAATCCCGATCCTGATTCCAGTCCATTGGATTCCAATCCCAATCCTGATCCTGATTCCGGTCTGTTGGATCCTAATCCCAATCCCAATCCTGATTCTGGTCCATTGGATCCCAATCCCAATCCCAATCCCAATCCCAATCGTGACCCAGGTCCATTGGATCCTAATCCTGATCCCAATCCCAATCCTGATTTTTATCCTTATCCTAATCCTGATCCTGGTCCGTTGGATCCCAATCCCAATCCCAGTCCCGGTCCATTGGATCCCAATCCAAATCCTGATTTTGATTGTGATCCCAATCCCGATCCCGGTCCATTGGATCCCAATCCCAAACCCAATCCGAGTCCCGGTCCATTGGATCCCAATCCCAATCCCAATTCTGATTTTGATCCTGGTCCATTGGATCCCAATCCTGATCCTGATCCCGATCCCAATCCCTGTCATGGTCCATTGGATCCTGATCCCAACCCCAATCCCGATCCAGGTCCATTGGATCCCAACCCCGAACCGGATCCCAGTCCATTGGATCCCAATCCCGATCCCAATCCCGATCCTGATCCAGGTCCGTTGGGTCCCAATCCCGGTCCATTGGATTCCAATCCCAATCCTGATCCCAATCCCAATCCTGGTCTGTTGGATCCCAATCCCAATCCCAGTCCCGGTCCATTGGATCCCAATCCCAATCCTGATTTTGATCCTGATCCCAATCCCGATCCCAGTCCGTTGGATCCCAATCCCAATTCTGATTTTGATCCTGGTCCGTTGGATCCCAATCCTGATCCTGATCCCGATCCCAATCCCTGTCGTGGTCCATTGGTCCTGATCCCAAACCCAATCCCGATCCGGGTCCGTTGGATCCCAATCCCAGTCCCGGTCCGTTGGATCCCAATCCCGAACCGGATCCCAGTCCTTTGGATCCCAATCCCAACCCCGATCCCGGTCCATTGGATCCCAATCCCAATCCCGATCCCGATCCTGTTCCAGGTCCGTTGGGTCCCAATCCTGATCCCAATCCCAATCCCGATCCCGGTCCATTGGATTCCAATCCTGATCCCAATCCCTATCCCAATCCCGGTCTGTTGGGTCTTGATCCCAATCCCAATCCTGATCCAAATCCATTGGATCCCAATCCCGATCCCGGTCCGTTGGATCCCGATCCCAATCCTGGTCCCGGTCCCGATCCGTTGGATCCCAATCCTGATTCCAATCCCAATCCCAATCCTGATCCCAGTCTGTTGGATCCCAATCCCGATCCCGATCCTGATTCCAGTCCATTGGATCCCAATCCCAATCCCAATCCTGATCCCAGGCCGTTGGATCCTAATCCCAATCCTGTTCCCAATCCCAATCCTGATCCCGGTCCGTTGGATCCCAATCCTGATCCCAATCCCAGTCCCGGTCTGTTGGATCCCAATCCTAATCCCAATCCTGATCCTGGTCCGTTGGATCCCAATCCTGATCCCGATCCTGATTCCGGTCCATTGGATCCCAATCCCAATCCTGATCCCAATCCCAGTCTCGGTCCATTGGATCCCAATCCCAATTCCAATCCTGATTTTGATCCGGGACCGTTGGATCCCAATCCCAATCCCGGTCCATTGGATCCCAATCCCGATCCCAATCCCGGTCCGTCAGATCCCAATCCTGATCCCGATCGCGGTCCGTCGGATCCCAATCCCGATACCAATCCCGATCGCGGTCCATCGGATCCCAATCCCGATACCAATCCCGATCCCGGTCCATCGGATCCCCATCCCGATCCCGATCCCAATCCAGATCCTGATCCCAATCCAGATCCCGATCCCAATCCCGATCCCGGTCCGTCGGATCCCCATCCTGGTCCCGATCTGGATCCCAATCCCAATCCCGGTCCCAATCCCAATCCCGGTCCGTCGGATCCCCATCCCGGTCCCGATCCCGATCCCAATCCCGATCCCGATCCCGATCCCGGTCTGTCGGATCCCCATCCCGATCCCGATCCCGATCCCGATCCCAATCCCGATCCCGGTCCATCGGATCCCCATCCCGATCCCGATCCCAATCCCGATCCCAATCCCGGTCCGTCAGATCCCAATCCTGATCCCGATCGCGGTCCGTCGGATCC